ACTCTCGTAGCTAAGGGCTTAGTGGAAGGTTCGAATTAGTTTTGGGCTATGAAAGTGCAAATTTTAATTTTTTCTTATTCTGAAGATATTTAGATATTGGTTTCTATGTGATAACTTGTTAATGCCTCTTCTGGTAGTCTTCAACCCTTAAATGCTGACTTTTAACTACATTAGAAACCTGTATACTCTGCAGTCTTCATTTACATCCGTTTAGGTAGAGGGGGCTGGGCTTATGGGATACGGGGATATTTCCTCAGCACAGGGACAGAAACTGATGTAGGTAGTGGAGAGTATAATTGTGGAGGGTTAAAGGTGGTGGAGAGTACGAGGTGTGTGAGTGATAGTGGAGAGTACGAGGTGTGTGAGTGATTGTGGAGAGTACGAGGTGTGTGAGTGATAGTGGAGAGTACGAGGTGTGTGAGTGATTGTGGAGAGTACGAGGTGTGTGAGTGAAGTGGAGAGTACGAGGTGTGTGAGTGATAGTGGAGAGTACGAGGTGTGTGAGTGATAGTGGAGAGTACGAGGTGTGTGAGTGATAGTGGAGAGTACGAGTGTGTGTGAGTGATGGTGGAGAGTACGAGGTGTGTGAGTGATAGTGGAGAGTACGAGGTGTGTGAGTGATAGTGGAGAGTACGAGGTGTGTGAGTGATAGTGAGAGTACGAGGGTGTGAGTGATAGTGGAGAGTACGAGGTGTGTGAGTGATGGTGGAGAGTACGAGGTGTGTGAGTGATAGTGGAGGTACGAGGTGTGTGAGTGATAGTGGAGAGTACGAGGTGTGTGAGTGATAGTGGAGAGTACGAGGTGTGTGAGTGATGGTGGAGAGTACGAGGTGTGTGAGTGATGGTGGAGAGTACGAGGTGTGTGAGTGATAGTGGAGAGTACGAGGTGTGTGAGTGATTGTGGAGAGTACGAGGTGTGTGAGTGATAGTGGAGAGTACGAGGTGTGTGAGTGATTGTGGAGAGTACGAGGTGTGTGAGTGATAGTGGAGAGTACGAGGTGTGTGAGTGATGGTGGAGAGTACGAGGTGTGTGAGTGATGGTGGAGAGTACGAGGTGTGTGAGTGATGTGGAGAGTACGAGGTGTGTGAGTGATAGTGGAGAGTACGAGGTGTGTGAGTGATGGTGGAGAGTACGAGGTGGTGAGTGATGGTGGAGATACGAGGTGTGTGAGTGATGGTGGAGAGTACGAGGTGTGTGAGTGATGGTGGAGAGTACGAGGTGTGTGAGTGATGGTGGAGAGTACGAGGTGTGTGAGTGATGGTGGAGAGTACGAGGTGTGTGAGTGATGGTGGAGAGTACGAGGTGTGTGAGTGATGGTGGACAGTAAACAACACACTGATGAAGTCTGTTTCTCATGACAGCTGAGACAGTCCTGATATACCCCACACACACACTACAATGTATTGCTCCCTCCTCTCTCTCTCTCTCTCTCTCTCTCTCTCTCTCTCTCTCTCTCTCTCTCTCAAGTCGTGACTTTGGTTTTTCTGTGCTAACTCGAGAATGCCTCTTGTGATCGGCTTCAAACTTTTAAAACAGGTGTGTCCCAATTAGAAGATGCTTAAGATTATTACCTAAATGAGTAGGTGCCAACCTGCCAAATTTTATTCCTACAATGGCATGACATTATTCTCCATATCTCGAGCATGCCTCTTCTGACTGGATTGAAACTTGATTCACCGCTGTTTCTTGTATGTAGGATTAAACCCTTTAAGATTAAGCTCAATGGATCCACGTTTGTGACTGTGCTGACGTACATAATTAAATTGGGTGGGTTTAGAGCAATATATGGAGAATGAGTCTTTCGACTGGCTTCAAATTTTTCGTGATTGCAACCATTATTATTAAAAAAAGTTCACACTGAATTTAGGCTATTTAAGTTTTAAATTAGACAATTTTATGATATATTATATATATATATATATATATATATATATATATATATATATATATATATATATATATATATATGTGTGTGTGTGTGTGTGTGTGTGTGTATGTGTGTGTGTGTGTGTGTGTGTGTGTCCTAGAGGACATCAGTAAAATTAAAGACATGGGAGAAAGCCTGGGCCTTTCTTTAAACCCCACCAAATGTGAAATAGTTTCTACCAATCAACAGATGATCCAGAATATTAGTGTTGTTTTACCAGGAGCACGAGCCATTGATCCAGCCAATAGCACTCTCCTTGGTGCTCCTCTTGGGTCCAATGCCATCTATCTGATCCTAGAAAAAAAAGTCTCAGACCTCTGGACGATGGAAAGCAGGATGAAAGACATTGGCACACATGATGCCTTCTACCTACTCACCAGATGCCTGTCAATCCCAAAACTTACCTACTTTCTGAGATGCTCCCCAGCCTTCAGCAGTCCAAAACTCAAGGAATATGACTCTCTCCTAAAGACCATGCTAGAGAGTGTATTGAATCTTTCCCTTGAAGATGGACAGTGGTTGCAAGCCTCACTTCCGGTCAGGCTTGGGGGGCTAGGAGTACGCAGATCCTCCCAGATTGCTCTACCAGCTTTCCTGTCCTCTTCCATAGCATCAAACGAGTTGATAAGACAAATTCTTCCTGATAACCTCAGTGACTCAGCAGGAATACAGGACCCTAGCTATGCCAGGGCCATCACTGAATGGGAGACTTTTGGTGCTCCAGCACCAAACCCTAGTGCAGCACTGGTTCACAGTCAAGCTGGGATGGCCCGATCGCTGAAAAGGTGCTTGCCAACATGCTCAGGGCTGCAACATCAGATAGGGAGACTGCCTGTCTCCAGGCTGTGAGTGCACCTCACACCAGGGACTTCCTCCAAACAGTTCCCATATCGGCAATGGGAACGCTCTGCGCCTTGCTGCCCCAATTCACACAGAATATATGTGTATTGAGGTGAAGAGCAAGCAGACCAATACGGTCTACATGGTGTTAACTGTTCCAAAACCAAGGGCTGGCATGCAAGACAATGATGTCAACGACATCATAAAGAGAGCCCTTGCTACAGCTGGATGCCCAGCCGAGAGGGAGCCCCGATCACTAGCAACCAACAATACTCACAACCCAGCAAACCGCCCCGACGTAATCACCATCTATCCTTGGAAGAATGGCAAGCTCTTAGCATGAGACTATACCTGTGTGTCCACACTGGCTGACACCTATATCCATCACAGTGTGGGGCGGCAGGGAGGAGCTGCTGACCACAGGGAGGAGTACAAGATCAGCAAGTACAGGAACGTAAGCCAACAGTATCAATTTGTCCCAGTGGGATCAGAGACCTTGGGATCATGGGATGAACGTCGTTATGAAGACAGAAAATATTAGGCAGCTTAAAGTGTAGATGCGGGGAAGAGGAAGAGGAATAAGAGTAGGAAAAGGAGGAGGAAGTGGAGATGAGAGAGGAGGAGGAAGAGGGGAAGAGGAGGAAGGGAAGAGGAGGAAGAAGAGGGGAAGAGGAGGAAGGAGGAGGATGAGGGGAAGTTTAGAATGGAGTACGAAGACGGGAAGAGGAGAAGAAAGGAGGAAGAGGGAAAAGGAGAAAGGAGGAGGAAGAGGAGAATAACAGAGAATTTTCCTGTATTGCTATTATTCCATCTCCTCCTGTTATATATTTATTAATTTTCTTCCATTTCCCTTTTCTTCGAATCTATCAGTTTTTCCCCTCCTATTCCTCCTTCGCGTCCCAATCTTTTCCTCTGTTCTCTTTCTTTTCCCGTACCCACCGTCCCTTTCAGCTGTCCCTTCTCATCTCCCCTTCCCCTCGTCTCTCCTCTTCCTCTCATCTTCCCCCTCTCCATATCTCCCCTCCCCCTCATCTCCCTATCTCCACTCACTCCTCATATCCCCTCCCCTCGTCTCTCGTCTTCCATCATTCCCCTCACTCCTCATATCCCCTTCCCCTCGTCTCTCCTCTCCCATCATTTCCCCTCTCCCATTATCTCCCCTCCCCCTCATCTCCCTCACTCCTTATATCCCTCCCCCTCGTCTCTCGTCTTCCATCATCTCCCCTCCCCCTCATCTCCCCTCCCCCTCATCCCCCTCCCCCTCATCTCCCCTCCCCTCCATCATCCCCCCTCCCCCTCATCCCCCTCCCCCTGGTCATTACAAGGCGCAACACGTATTATTGACTCCAAAAATTCCTCTCGTGTCCGGTGCTTCAGGGTGGACCACGTTGGTCCTGGACCACCGCGGACCTGGACCACCGAAGACCTGGACCACGACGGTCCATGGTGGTCCTCCAGGAGAGTTCACTCAAGTTCATTTCCTCTTCCTCTCTTCTTGTGCAGTCGTGCGCCATTTCTCTTCTCATTTCTTTCTCCTTTTCGTTTCTTCTTCTGGCAATAACATTCTTGTTTTGCTTTAATTTTTAAGTTGCATTTATGTCCTTCACACACACACACACACACACACACACACACACACACACACACATACACACACACACACACACACACACACACACACACACACACACACACACATACACACACGTGTCTATCGACAAGTGTCTTTGGCAACTGGTAATTAACACACACACATACACACATCTGAGTCGGAGTAGAGACTGTCCCATTTTTGAGTGGTAGAGTTTTTACAGACGAATCTCCAGCTAGCGTGGCCGTGACGAACTCTAGTTCAGGTCCCCTCAAAGCCGTTAACATGCATTTGTGGTCACAATGGTGCCTATGCTAACCTTCCTATGGTGTAGAAATATACCTAGTTGGACGAATCTTATTGTGGCTAGCTGGTGCAGTGGCTAACGCGACGGTCTGGAGTTTTGAGACTCTGATCGCGGGTTCTATCCCCACCCGTGGTATGGTTTGTTTGCAATCGTGTCATTACGATTTCGTGAGTCATGTTAATCTTAATATATAGCTGAATCAAAGAGCGAAACTAACAACGAACAGAGGCAGACGAGGGACAAAAACAACGGCTTTGTATTCACTCTGTTCAGACCCATTTTCCAGGTGTTCTTAGTGATTGTTTACATGGTTCTTCTTTCTGGGGTGGTGCAGGGTACGAGTGGGTGGGCTGGAAGAACGACTCCCGCCAGACTCAGCCAGTTGAAATCTCCTTCGAGTTCGACTCAGTCAGGAACTTCTCCGCCGTGCACATCTATGCCAACAACTTCTTCACCAAGGACACCCAGGTAAGTCCTCCTCCGTACTTAGTAAAGATCACAAGAGTGACTGGAAGAGGAATATATGAGGCTTGATAGACTTTATTAAACTTATCTAATTAAGATTTATTTTCTTTGCTATTGCTATTATTATGATTATTATTGTCATTATTATTATGATTATTATTATTATTGGCATTATTATTATTAAACGGAGGTACTATATTTATTTAAACAATGAATTACGTATCACATACAATTTCTAACCTTTACTGATGAATATAGGATACACGGTAGTTATATACAATGGTTCTATACCAGTCTAAATTGATCAAATTTCTAATCCAGTGAGTTGCAACCACCTATTCCTAAACAATCACTAAACGGTCTGTTATTTTTGTTGGAGACTATCACGAGGGCCAGTAGCTGGTGCTCCCCCAGGGCCAGTAGCTGGTGCTCCCCCAGGGCCAGTAAGCTGGTGCTTCCCCAGGGCCAGTAGCTGGTGCTCCCCCAGGGCCAGTAGCTGGTGCTCCCCCAGGGCCAGTAGCTGGTGCTTCCCCAGGGCCAGTAGCTGGTACTTCCCTAGGGCCAGTAGCTGGTGCTTCCCCAGAGCCAGTAGCTGGTGCTTCCCTAGGGCCAGTAGCTGGTGCTTCCCCAGAGCCAGTAGCTGGTGCTCCCCCAGGGTCAGTAGCTGGTGCTTCCCTAGGGCCAGTAGCTGGTGCTTCCCTAGGGCCAGTAGCTGGTGCTTTCCCAGAGCCAGTAGCTGGTGCTCCCCCAGGGTCAGTAGCTGGTGCTTCCCCAGGGCCAGTAGCTGGTGCTTCCCCAGGGCCAGTAGCTGGTGCTTCCCCAGAGCCAGTAGCTGGTGCTCCCCCAGGGCCAGTAGCTGGTGCTCCCCCAGGGCCAGTAGCTGGTGCTTCCCCAGGGCCAGTAGCTGGTGCTTCCCTGGGGCCAGTAGCTGGTGCTTCCCCAGAGCCAGTAGCTGGTGCTTCCCTAGGGCCAGTAGTTGGTGCTTCCCCAGAGCCAGTAGCTGGTGCTCCCCCAGGGTCAGTAGCTGGTGCTTCCCTAGGGCCAGTAGCTGGTGCTTCCCTAGGACCAGTAGCTGGTGCTCCCCCAGGGCTAGTAGCTGGTGCTTCCCTAGGGCCAGTAGCTGGTGCTTCCCCAGGGCCAGTAGCTGGTGCTCCCCCAGGGCTAGTAGCTGGTGCTTCCCCAGGGCCAGTAGCTGGTGCTTCCCTAGGGCCAGTAGCTGGTGCTTCCCCAGGGCCAGTAGCTGGTGCTCCCCCAGGGCTTGTAGCTGGTGCTTCCCTAGGGCCAGTAGCTGGTGCTCCAAGGGGGTTAGTAGCTGGTGCTTCCCTAGGGCCAGTAGCTGGTGCTTCCCCAGGGCTAGTAGCTGGTGCTCCCCCGGGGCTAGTAGCTAGTGCTTCCCCAGGGCCAGTAGCTGGTGCTTCCCCAGGGCCAGTAGCTGGTGCTTCCCCCAGGGCCAGTAGCTGGTGCTTCCCCCAGGGCCAGTAGCTGGTGCTCCCCCAGGGCCAGTAGCTGGTGCTTCCCTAGGGCCAGTAGCTGGTGCTTCCCCAGGGCCAGTAGCTGGTGCTCCCCCAGGGCTAGTAGCTGGTGCTTCCCCAGGGCCAGTAGCTGGTGCTTCTCCAGGGCCAGTAGCTGGTGCTTCCCCCAGGGCCAGTAGCTGGTTCTTCCCCAGGGCCAGTAACTGGTGCTTCCCCAGGGCCAGTAGCTGGTGCTTCTCCAGGGCCAGTAGCTGGTGCTTCCCCAGGGCCAGTAACTGGTGCTTCCCCAAGGCCAGTAACTGGTGCTTCCCCAGGGCCAGTAGCTGGTGCTCCCCCAGGGCTAGTAGCTGGTGCTTCCCCAGGACCAGTAACTGGTGCTTCCCCAGGACCAGTAACTGGTGCTTCCCCAGGACCAGTAACTGGTGCTTCCCCCAGGACCAGTAACTGGTGCTTCCCCAGGACCAGTAACTGGTGCTTCCCCAGGACCAGTAACTGGTGCTTCCCCAGGGCCAGTAACTGGTGCTTCCCCAGGACCAGTAACTGGTGCTTCCCCAGGGCCAGTAACTGGTGCTTCCCCAGGACCAGTAACTGGTGCTTCCCCAGGGCCAGTAACTGGTGCTTCCCCAGGACCAGTAACTGGTGCTTCCCCAGGACCAGTAACTGGTGCTTCCCCAGGGCCAGTAACTGGTGCTTCCCCAGGGCCAGTAACTTTTGCTTCCCCAGGGCCAGTAACTGGTGCTTCCCCAGGACCAGTAACTGGTGCTTCCCCAGGACCAGTAACTGGTGCTTCCCCAGGACCAGTAACTGGTGCTTCCCCAGGACCAGTAACTGGTGCTTCCCCAGGGCCAGTAACTGGTGCTTCCCCAGGGCCAGTAACTGGTGCTTCCCCAGGGCCAGTAACTGGTGCTTCCCCAGGGCCAGTAACTGGTGCTTCCCCAGGGCCAGTAACTGGTGCTTCCCCAGGGCCAGTAACTGGTGCTTTCCCCAGGACCAGTAACTGGTGCTTCCCCAGGGCCAGTAACTGGTGCTTCCCCAGGCCAGTAACTGGTGCTTCCCCAGGGCCAGTAACTGGTGCTTCCCAGGACCAGTAACTGGTGCTTCCCCAGGACCAGTAACTGGTGCTTTCCCCAGGACCAGTAACTGGTGCTTCCCCAGGGCCAGTAACTGGTTGCTTCCCCAGGACCAGTAACTGGTGCTTCCCCAGGACCAGTAACTGGTGCTTCCCCAGGGCCAGTAACTGGTGCTTCCCCAGGACCAGTAACTGGTGCTTCCCCAGGACCAGTAACTGGTGCTTCCCCAGGGCCAGTAACTGGTGCTTCCCCAGGGCCAGTAACTGGTGCTTTCCCCAGGCCAGTAACTGGTGCTTCCCCAGGACCAGTAACTGGTGCTTCCCCAGGCCAGTAACTGGTGCTTCCCCAGGGCCAGTAACTGGTGCTTCCCCAGGACCAGTAACTGGTGCTTCCCCAGGACCAGTAACTGGTGCTTCCCCAGGACCAGTAACTGGTGCTTCCCCAGGGCCAGTAACTGGTGCTTCCCCAGGACCAGTAACTGGTGCTTCCCCAGGACCAGTAACTGGTGCTTCCCCAGGGCCAGTAACTGGTGCTTCCCCAGGGCCAGTAACTGGTGCTCCCCAGGGCCAGTAACTGGTGCTTCCCCAGGACCAGTAAACTGGTGCTTCCCCAGGACCAGTAACTGGTGCTTCCCCAGGACCAGTAACTGGTGCTTCCCCAGGACCAGTAACTGGTGCTTCCCCAGGGCCAGTAACTGGTGCTTCCCCAGGGCCAGTAACTGGTGCTTCCCCCAGGGCCAGTAACTGGTGCTTCCCCAGGACCAGTAACTGGTGCTTCCCCAGGACCAGTAACTGGTGCTTCCCCAGGGCCAGTAACTGGTGCTTCCCCAGGACCAGTAACTGGTGCTTCCCCAGGACCAGTAACTGGTGCTTCCCCAGGGCCAGTAACTGGTGCTTCCCCAGGGCCAGTAACTGGTGCTTCCCAGGACCAGTAACTGGTGCTTCCCCAGGACCAGTAACTGGTGCTTCCCCAGGACCAGTAACTGGTGCTTCCCCAGGACCAGTAACTGGTGCTTCCCCAGGGCCAGTAACTGGTGCTTCCCCAGGGCCAGTAACTGGTGCTTCCCCAGGACCAGTAACTGGTGCTTCCCCAGGGCCAGTAACTGGTGCTTCCCCAGGACCAGTAACTGGTGCTTCCCCAGGACCAGTAACTGGTGCTTCCCCAGGACCAGTAACTGGTGCTTCCCCAGGACCAGTAACTGGTGCTTCCCCAGGACCAGTAACTGGTGCTTCCCCAGGGCCAGTAACTGGTGCTTCCCCAGGGCCAGTAACTGGTGCTTCCCCAGGACCAGTAACTGGTGCTTCCCCAGGCCTTGTCTGAGGAACCGAGTTTTTTATTTACAATCCTGGAGATTCTAATGTTTGTTCTGATAAAACATTAGTTTGTTTAAGGGATATTCCTCCTATATCTTAACAATTACATATATTTAATTAATGTTATCTTCTTAGTTACATTTCGCTTCAATTATCAGTCTTAGCCTTTTTCTAATAAAATAATACTGAAAAAGGTCTTATCTCCAAGATTTTTTCTTTGTCGTTTAGACATGTATTTGAATATTTTTGTCCACAAACATCAAATCTTATTCCTCAGGGCTGTGATTGGGGTTAGAACATAAGATCATAAGGAAGAAGGAACACTGCAACAGGCCTACTGACCCATGAAAGGCAGGTCCACGTCACCTCCCGGCTTACACCAATGACCCACCTAGTCAAGTCAGGTCACGTCCGCTTAAGGAGTACGGCATCAAACCTATTAGCACAAGCTAATTAGGTCCAATTCACACCTACCCACACCCACTCATGTATTTATCCAACCTATTTTTAAAACTACACAACGTCTTAGCTTCTATGACGGTACTCGGGAGTTTGTTCCACTCATCCACAACTCTATTACCAAACCAGTGCTTTCCTATATCCTTCCTGAATCTGATTTTTTCCAGCGTAAAACTATTGCTGCGAGTCCTGTCTTGGCTAGATATTTTTAACACACTATTTACATTCCCTTTATTTATTCCTGTTTTCCATTTATACACCTCAATCATATTCCCATTAGTTTTACGCCTTTCTAGAGAAGATTCTGTTCTGATCAATTTGTCTATGTTCAAAATCTCCCCCCCTCAAGGAAGGTTCCTTGATGTTGGTGAGGGGGTCTTGATTTAGGGAATTGGATTGTGCTCAGTTCCCCAAATTAAGCCTGAATGCCTTCCACATCCCCCCCCCCCCAGGCGCTGTATAATCCTCCGGGTTTAGCGCTTCCCCCTTGATTGTAATAATAATCAAAATCTCCCATTAGCACGACATTTTCATATCTAGACGCCTTATGAATTTCGTCATTTATTGGTGACCTCCACCAATTTCCTCTCCTTGCCTGATCTCTACCAATCTCTCTCTCTCTCTCTCTCTCCTCTCTCTCTCTCTCTCTCTCTCTCTCCTCTCATAGATGTTATTTTCTCACTGGAAGGTATCTTACCAGCACGAGGGCTATTTATCATGGATGGGAAACACTACCACGGGTATTCTCCACCAGATCCTTATCTTTCTGTAAATGTTTACCACTTCTACCTAGCAGTCGTTCTTCAGTAGTTTCCTTCTCCTGACAGGTGTTCTCACGGGCTCGGGTACTGTTCAGCGTTGGTGGGGAGCACTACAACATGCAGCCAGCTGTGGAGTTCGAGTATGTGGTGGACCGCATCTTCGAGCACGCACGCAATGTGACCATCAGATTACACAATGTGGCCGCCAAGTACATCAAGCTGCAGCTCTTTTTCTCACTCAGGTGGATCCTCATCTCCGAAGTCGCCTTTGACTCAAGTGGGTCTTGAAATGTTTGATACTTTGCTACTGAAACATTTGGTTATTCATTTTTTCTTTCTTTTGTAAGAACTTGAAGTAACATTGCCTCCGATAATTTAAAAATACCACATAATATTCAATTGTCTTTTTTTTTTTTTTGGCCTCTTAGTTCCATGTGCCTGTAACCTGACGGATGAAGAGCTGGTACTAACGACGGAGACAGTAAGAAAGCAGTCCCTATCGGAGGTGCAGGGACAGACCCCTGTTGTGCCAGCCCAAGCCTCCTCCTCAGGATTTCTGGTAGGGGGACTGGCCACTCTGGGCGTGGTCTTCGGCGTGGTGCCCATTGCTCTCTGTGTCCTCTACTACAGGTACAAGCTCTCTAAAAAGAGCAAGACTCCTCCCTCTACCATCAACAGCGTTGACACGAAAAAAGTGTCATGAAAATGAAAGACTTTCATATTAATATGAATCTAACGCCGACTTCTAATGGGTACTCGCGAGCCAAGGGAGAGTTGTACGGTCATGTAACTATGGAGGAGGAGGCAGCAGCGATGTATCAAGAACCCTACAAGGGCCCACTCCACAACCCTGGTTACTACACCCTCGGTCGCACTGTTACCTCTTCAGAGACTCCCCTCAAGTGCCAGCTGCCTCCTGACACCGACGACTCGGTGGACTATGCTGTTCCTGATGTCAATATGACCCCACCACCTCCGTTCTCTGACGTGTACTCTCCGCCTCCACCGGTCCCATTAACACGACCGCCTACCACTCTTCCCACAGTCAGGACTCGTAAAGATCACCCCTGCCACCACCAGTGCCGCCCATCCCACCACCCCCTGAGCAGCAGTACTATGCTGCGCCACAGCTCTGCCATGCATCCAACATCCAAGGTGTTACCGGCTCTGTCATTTATGCCCTGGCTGATGGATCTAACTTGCTCAAAGAGCGCTCGGTTCCAGAAGTACCTCGGCAGCGCATTCGCATCTTGGAAACGCTCGGCGAGGGAAAATTCGGCATGGTGCAACTGTGCGAAGTCGAGGACCCCAATGGATCGCAAATGGTAGCTATGAAGAGCATCAGGACTGGTTCGAGTGAAGCCACAAAGAAGGATTTCCGTCAGGAAGCTCGAATTCTGAGTCGCCTGGATGACCCTAACATCGTACAGCTGGTTGGAATGGTGACACGGGCAGAGCCACTGTGTATGCTGCTGGAGTACATGAGTTGTGGCGACCTCTACCAGTTCCTTAGAAAACACCGGGGTGACGGAACGATCATGCCTGTCACCTTTACATCTCCCGAGGACGATGCAGATCTTCCAGTTCTTAGCTATGGAGCTCTTATATATATAGCATCCCAGGTTGCCTCTGGAATGAAATACTTGGAGGCACTCAATGTAGTCCATCGAGATCTGGCTGCCCGCAACTGTCTGGTGGGTAATGAATTAACAATAAAAATTTCAGACTTTGGCATGAGCCGCCCATTATATTCCAACGACTACTACCGGCTGAGTGAAGGCCGGGCTCTTTTGCCCATCAGATGGATGGCGTGGGAGTCTATCCTACAAGGTCGATTCTCCACCAAGAGCGATGTGTGGGCGTTCGGAGTGACACTGTGGGAGATACTGACGATGGTACGTCAGCAGCCCTACGATGAGCTGAGTGACGATGGAGTGCTGGAGAACGTGTCTCACTGCTACCATGGTGACGGATCTGGCATGATGATGCTGCCTCAGCCTCCTCTTTGTCCCCGGGAGATGTACGACATGATGACTGCTTGCTGGAGACCCAATGACCGTCCAGCGTCCTCCTTTCTGGGAGATCCACTTGTTCCTGCAGCGTAAAAACCTGGGTTACACCCTCGACTACATTGAGTGAGGTACCATGTAACATTTGGAAGCTTCTCGTGCAATTCCCTACTTCCAAGTTAATCTCAGCAGGTCTCAGGTCCTTGTGTGCCACGCCATAAGTTGCTCCATAAAGCTATTTATCTGGAAATAACTATGTTCTTCCAGTGAACTTATCAATTTTTTTTAATCAAAATTATTACTAACCAAAATATCTTGTAGTGGAGCTTCCAAATTAAATTCTCCAGGATAACTGAAGGTGCTTGTTTACCTTTAAATAAAGAATCGGTGCTCTTCCAATTACAACGAATTTCAATGAAAAAAAAAAAGTCTTTAAATGCAAAATATTCAACGAGTTTCTATAATTTCCAACATTTTCCAGTGTGAATCAAGGACGTATTCATTATAATCTTAATGAGAGTCAACAAGAACCTCAACCTTCTGAACTGGAAACCGTTGTGAAAGAAAAAGTGTTCCTGAAAGATACTTCAGTTTTCAAAGCTTCTTACTCATTTTGTGGGTGAAAAGAGGATGTCTTTTTCGAGGTTTTTATCAGTGATTAAGAAGATGAACGCTTTAAAAAAACCTGAGGTGTTATTGTGAATGGAATAGTGTAATAGTTTCAGACTGTTGGAAGACATTAACCTCCTGCAAGACTTACAATTGTCCCAGTCTTTTGAAAAAGTGTTTAAGGTCTTCCAGTAATGAACGTGAAACCGTCTTTTAAGGTTTTCAAAACTGCGAGTGAACTTCAGAATGATGGAAAGCAAATAATATTTTGTCATTAAGGGTCCAAATTGGTTGTAGTGAATAGCACCTATGATTCGTGATTTGGACTCGAGTCGATAACCAGGAAGACTGTGCTCTTGTGTGGAATGCTACATATCTCACAGCCTGGCTTGGTCCTGGGTAGAACACTTACTAGTGTCACTACTCACCTTAAACACTACAGAAACAATACATTTCAAAATTTTGAATGTTCACAGTAGTGTAGTGGTATTTGCTTCTTATCCCTGTGGGATTTTTTCAATAGCAGACTCTATCAGTTGTCCAGTAGTTAATGGTGGTGTTCATTTATGAAATTTGCACAAAACTAACTGATGTCACTGAAAAAGTTTATCAGGAGGAGTTCACCTCACCTTGACAGCTACAACGTCTGTGTTCTATCACACCTCTGTATCGTTGTTCGTATTGTCGCCACAGTAAGTGCTTCCACAATGTTCGTGTTTCGTTCCTCTCCTCCCCAACCCAGAAACAACAGTTATGTTGAGGTTTGCTTGAGCTGCGTTGACTTGATTCCCGACCCGTGTGTAGGGCGGCTCCTGTGATTTATCTGTGATATAAATTAGTCAGGGAATTGGTTCATGAGTGAGAGACAAATGAACGCAATGATTTCTTCCAAACCCCCCCCCCCCGGTCTTTTTTTCTTTTCGTGGAAGATTTCAATCAGGTTCCAACTCAGTTTTGAGTATATAGTGACAATTGTTTTCTTTAGTATACTTCAGGACGTGATTCACTCTCATACTTGATGTTTCCAGGCATAACTCGCCGCCTCAGTGAATGCTTCAGAATTTGAATCTGTCTCGCTGGAGGCTTCAGAGAGCATGATTCGATGTCTTGCTGGAGGCGTGAAATAGAATGATTCCTTATCTGCCTGGAGGTTTCAATGAGCAAGAGTCAATGTGTAGCTTGAGGCTTCAGAGACACTTCCTCAGTATCTAATATGAAGACATGGTTCATGAAACCCGTGAGTGCTATAGGTGTACCACCAGGTTAAAAGTGCTGTGTTTGTAGAGTCGTTTAACCTAACTGCCAGTGGTTCACTCCTTCGCCACAATCTAAAAAGTGATTGGCGTTTTTGAGCTTCTAGTCAATTTGTCTGCAACTTTTATTAATTTTTATCTAGCTTTTAAAGCTAACACTGCAATAAAAGTAATAATCTCTCTCCCTCCGTCTCTCTCTCTCTCTCTCTCTCTCTCTCTCTCTCTCTCTCTCTCTCTCTCTCTCTCTCTCTCCCTCGTCCTCGTACTTCCAAAAACAATCACCTGTAGATTTTTCACATAATCGAAGGTGGATTAATTAACCTCATGTCAAAAAGAAACATATCCTGTTAATATTTAAATAAATGTATATAATAGTCTAGTGTTATGGTTATTATTTTCTATTTCTCATAAAAAGCAAGAATAATAGCCCCGGTATTGATGGCATTACTGCGCCCTCTCTCTCTCTCCCTCTCTCTCTCTCTCTCTCTCTCTCTCTCTCTCTCTTCTCTCTCTCCTTCCTACACACACACACTCATCGTAACTATATTCATTAAGGACAATATACATATATATATATATATATATATATATATATAAAATATATATTATATAAAATTATATATAAATTTTTATATTACACATGAACATGAATTTCTAAAATTGCAAATTACAATCAAAATACTCATTTTTAATACTTCAATAGTTTTTACCAACAACAACAACAACAGGGGACATCTTCAGTGATGTAAAAATAGTTATATATAAAATAATATATATTTTTTAATGTGTATACGTGTGTATAACTCCAGCTGTCCTCATGCTATGTTGTATTTTTTACTGAATTGTATGTAATAAAGACATGTATATACCTGGAACAACGTTACTGGTACTTATTATCCTGTATTGATCACGTACGTGAATTTATAAAACGAGAGATAAAGGAGGAGAAAGAGAGAGAGGCAGAGGGATGCGGCAGAGCTGCAGGAACGGATATGGGAAGGAAATGGTATGTGTCAGGGGATACTGAACACATTATACCTCTGTCTCATTAATGCTGCCCTCCAACATGTCCCTGTCCCCCTGCCCCAAAACCAGATGTGCCCCGATGCCCCCAAATGAATCCATCCCACCAACCCCCTCCCTCCTCCTCCAGAAAGACCCTGACTCTCCACATAACCCCCCTCCCCACCACTGAATGCGCCACAGTAGTCATCTGGAAATTAAGAGCCTTATTTTGTCACGAGACGGAAATACGCTAACGAATCTACTCTTTTCGGATGGACAGGAAATAAGCGACAGGATCCTGTTTTTTCGGGACAATACTCTGTTTTTCTTATATCTGGCAAGTGCGGGGAGTAGTCCTAGCAAGCGCTAATCTTTCTAGTAGGCACTCGAGATATTCCTTTTAGCGCTCCCCATGATATATTCCTAGCAGGAACTGGGAGTATTCCTAGCAGGAACAGAGTATTCCTAGCAGGAACTGGGAGTATTCCTAGCAGGAACAGAGTATTCCTAGCAGGAACTGGGAGTATTCTTCGCAGGAACTGGGAGTATTCTTAGCAGGAACTGGGAGTATTCTTAGCAGGAACTGGGAGTATTCTTCGCAGGAACTGGGAGTATTCTTAGCAGGAACTGGGAGTATTCTTAGCAGGAACTGGGAGTGTTTCTAGCACGAGCTGGGAGTACCGAATATAGAATACGTAGTCCTAAATATATCCGATCTGATCCCTTTCAGTATACACGACTGGTTTTAAATAAGATTATATATTGAGAAGCAGATGTCGTATAGGTTCAGAACCTCTATCATACGGTCACTATTATTATTTGTAATATAAATAGTTAGGAAACCAATACAAGCGATAAAAAACTATAGAAATAAGATGCATCAGTAAAGTGAAAAAGTTTGATAAATTTAAACTAAACAAAAGAACTATAATAAAGGCAGTAGATAATAATAATGCAGTGAAAAAAACAGAGATTTAACAATAAAGACAGAGTATAATGAATAAAAGGTATTTATTAATATCAACAGGTGAATAATATACATGTGCAACACCTTATGGGACATGTGCAACACCTTATGGGACATGTGCAACACCTTATGGGACATGTGCAACACCTTATGGGACATGTGCAACACCTTATGGGACATGTGCAACACCTTATGAGACATGTGCAACACCTTATGAGACATGTGCAACACCTTATGAGACATGTGCAACACCTTATGGGACATGTGCAACACCTTATGGGACATGTGCAACACCTTATGGGACATGTGCAACACCTTATGGGACATGTGCAACACCTTATGGGACATGTGCAACACCTTATGGGACATGTGCAACACCTTATGAGACATGTGCAACACCTTATGAGACATGTGCAACACCTTATGAGACATGTGCAACACCTTATGGGACATGTGCAACACCTTATGGGACATGTGCAACACCTTATGGACATGTGCAACACCTTATGGGACATGTGCAACACCTTATGGACATGTGCAACACCTTATGGGACATGTGCGAACCTTATGGGACATGTGCAACACCTTATGAGACATGTGCAACACCTTATGAGACATGTGCAACACCTTATGGGACATGTGCAACACCTTATGGGACATGTGCAACTCCTTATGAGACATGTGCAACACCTTATGAGACATGTGCAACATCTTATGAGACGTGCAACACCTAATGAGACATGTGCAACACCTTATGAGACATGTGCAACATCTTATGAGACATGTGCAACACCTTATGGGACATGTGCAACACATGGGACATGTGCAACACCTTATGGGACATTTGCAACACCTTATGAGACATGTGCAACATCTTATGAGACGTGCAACACCTTATGAGACATGTGCAACACCTTATGGGACACGTGCAACACCTTATGGGACATGTGCAACACTTTATGAGACATGTGCAACATCTTATGAGACGTGCAACACCTTATGAGACATCTGCAACACCTTATGAAACATGTGCAACATCTTTCGAGACATGTGCAACACCTTATGGGACATGTGCAACACCTTATGGGACATGTGCAACACCTTATGGGACATTTGCAACACCTTATGAGACATGTGCAACATCTTATGAGACGTGCAACACCTTATGAGACATGTGCAACACATTATGGGACATGTGCAACACCTTATGAGACATGTACACTTTATGAGACATGTGCAACACCTTATGAGACATGTGCAACATCTTATGAGACATGTGCAACACATGGAACATATGCAACATCTTATGAGACATGTGCAACACATTATGGGACATGTGTAACACCTTATGAGACATGTGCAACACATTATGGGACATGTGCCACACCTTATGAGACATGTGCAACACATGAGACATGTGTAACACTTTGAGACGTGCAACACATTATGGGACATGTGCAACACCTTATGAGACATGTGCAACACATTATGGGACATGTGCAACACCTTATGAGACGTGTAATACTTTATGAGACATGTGCAACACATTATGGGACATGTGCAACACATGAGACATGTGCAACACATTATGGAACATGTGCAACACATGAGACATGTGCAACACATTATGGGACATGTGCAACACATTATGAGACATGTTCAACACCTTATGAGACATGTGTAACACTTTGAGACATGTGCAACACATGGGACATGTGCAACACCTTATGAGACATGTGCAACGCCTTATGAGACATGTGCAACATCTTATGAGACATGTGCAACATCTTATGAGACATGTGCAACACCTTATGAGACATGTGCAACACCTTATGAGACATGTGCAACACTTTATGAGACATGTGCAACATCTTATGAGACATGTGCAATACCTTATGAGACATGTGCAACACCTTATGGGACATGTGCAACACCTTATGAGACATGTGCAACATCTGAGACATGTGCAACACCTTATGAGACATGTGCAACACCTTATGAGACATGTGCAACACATGAAACATGTGCAACACCTTATGAGACATGTGCAACACCTTATGAGACATGTGCAACGCCTTATGAGACATGTGCAACATCTTATGAGACATGTGCAACATCTTGAGACATGTGCAACACCTTATGAGACATGTGCAACACCTTGTGAGACATGTGCAACGCCTTATGAGACATGTGCAACATCTTATGAGATGTGCAACACCTTATGAGACATGTGCAACACCTTATGAGACATGTGCAACATCTTATGAGACATGTGCAATACCTTATGAAACATGTGCAACACCTTATGGGACATGTGCAACGCCTTATGAGACATGTGCAACACCTTATGAGACATGTGCAACATCTGAGACATGTGCAACACCTTATGAGACATGTGCAACACCTTATGAGACATGTGCAACATCTTCTGAGACATGTGCAACACCTTATGAGACATGTGCAACACCTTATGAGACATGTGCAACATCTGAGACTTGTGCAACACCTTATGAGACATGTGCAACATCTTCTGAGACATTTGCAACACCTTATGAGACATGTGCAACACTTTATGACACACGTTCAACACATAAGACACATAAAAGTTATGACTTACAATTTTGGAACACAAGCAGTTAGGTTTTTCAGTTGGTATCGTAACTGCCTCAACGACAAGTTATCACTGATGCGGTAAGACATAATTATTTTTATTTTTAAAAGTGGACTGGCCGAGGTCTTGGACTGGTAAGCCAGTGGAAGGCCTCGGTCAGATGACCAAACGCTCCAGTGGTGGGTCACCATCGACTCAAGGCTGAGGGACTGATTACCTCAAACTCCTCCTGTTCTTCACCATTTCCTTTGTATGGACTGATGAAGCCACTGTGTGGCGAAACGTTTCCACAATAAAGATACCCAAGAGTTGCACATGTGTCTAATTTATCAACTTGTCGGTTCTCTGAACCATTTACCTGCATTACCAAACCTAAACTAGGTGGTCCCTCTTGACTATTTCACTACACTAATCTCTGTAGTACTGTTACAGCGCCTCTTAGAACTATTTCGATATTCTTCACTGTATTTTGGTTTTAATTTCTAACAAAACTGTAATTATCTAGCTCCTGTCTCCTGAGACTCAGAACCAATGTACTCGACAAAAATCGTAATGACAATAACTAAATTCACTTAAAACTGGATGGGAATCGAACCCGGAGCTACATGTGTGCAGAGCTAGTGGTCAACCGCTGTTGATGTTTGCAGGTAAGCTCATAGGTTATGTTAAATCTTATAGTCCATAAGTCAATCCATAAGTAAACTTAACTCAGTAAGGCAAAGATAGGATAAATGCTCCCAGAGATGTTGGTGGCTACACCACCGTTGTTGATAACACAGTTATGGTGCTAATGTTGCTGGCTACACCACCGTTGTTGATAACACAGTTATGGTGTTAATGTTGCTGGCTACACCACCGTTGTTGATAACACAGTTATGGTGTTAATGTTGCTGGCTTAAAC